AACAAAGTAGATGATTTGTGCCAACCTTATCCTTACTGATCACTGGAAATACCCTCTAAATCACAGAGATCCAGTGGTCAGAAGGAGTAGCCAATTACATCCTCAATGTGTAGCACTGATGAAGCATATCCTTAACCGTAGGAGAGTGGTGGATCGGTTCTTTCTATTTGATTTTTGGTTTCGATTTTTGTTCTGTTTGATTGCTATGTTGTTTATTGGTTTGGTGGGGTTTTGCTCTTTGGGGTTTTGTTCAGTTTTGTTTAGTGTTTTTTTGTTTTGTTTTGCTTGCTTTGTTTTGTTTTTTGGCAGGGAAAACGACAGTGTTACAATATTTTTGTAAGGGTCAGTTGCAAATTTGTAGGGTCGTAGAAAGGTTTGGGTTGGAAGAGACTTTAAAGATCATGTAGTTCCAACTACATGGGCAGGGAACTTTTCACTAGACCAGGTTGCTCAGAGCCCCATCTAATCTGGCCTTGAACACTTCCAGGAATAGGGAACCCACAACATCTCTGGGTGATGTTCCGGTGTCTCACCACCTTCACAGTAAAGAATTTCTTCCTAATGCCTAATAGTCCCCTTCCCTTTGACAGTCTGAAGCCATTCCCCCATCCTATCACTACATGCCCTTGTAAAAAGTCCCTCTCTCGCTTTCTTGTAAGTCCCCTTAAGTCCCCCTTAGTCATGAAGCCTGATTATCAAGACATCGGCTTTGCAGATTGTAGCAACGTGAATAACAATGTTTAGTAATTACATAGCACTGGTACAATGTGTGGGCAAAGTTTAATCACTTAACACCTCCAGTGTGCCACCCCCCCCTCCACGCCCCAGCACTGTGAAGGAGGAAACAAAGGAATTATTTCTGCTGCTTTGTAAGAAAGGGAGACTGTGAAGTGTGATGGAAGGTCAGAATGACAACTCAGAGAGGGTTTTCCAAGCATGGGCTGCTTTCCTCGGGCAGTGATAACAGAGAAAGCCACTCTGCTTTAGTGAAATGAAAGTCAGGCAGAAATGTGCTGAACTGGCATGGACAGTTGCTCACTAAACCACTGAGCTCTCTGAGGAGTATGCATAAAACAAAAAATGAAAGGGAAAAAGCTGTAATCAGGGGTCATAGTGAAATCTGACATGACTTTGCAAGGGCATCTTCGGGTATTTGGTGTAAGGTGTTGTATGAACAGAAGGGTGTGAAACCTCTGCTTTGCATGATGAGTCAGGTGACTTCCAGGCAGTAAAATGAAAAAATGCCTTGGTTTCATTTCCTTCTGTGTTTGGACCAGATGATAGTACAGCTGTGACTATGGAGTCTCACAGAAGAACCACTTCAATTCTTTGCAGCATAAGATTTTTCAATCTTACTCTGGCATCTCTTTCAACAAGATTAGGACAAGTGTTCGGACAAAGAACTTGTGTTAGTGTTGAGTGTTCAGTCCTCTGCAGCATGCACTTCACAGATATCTGCTAAAGAACACAGATAAAAAATTGCATGCTCTTAGTGGAAAGTGCAGATATTTTCAGGATACCTCTTGTGTTGTTTGTAATGATGCTGGTTCTCAGGACAGGCAGTGCAGGGGAGCCATCTGAACCTGGGTCTTCCTCATAACAGTTCTTGGGCAACAAGACATACACTGGACAATGGTGATCTGGTTCATCACTTTTGGGCAGAATGGGAAGCAAAACACGCCTGGAAGAGACACAGAACCCTCATGTTCTAACCACCTGTTGTAGGCAGTTGCCGAATTTCAAAATGATTTGGGGACATGATACTATGTGTAACCAGAAGAGAATATTATGAGACTAGTATGTCAACCATCTATTAAAATGTAAGGGATTTGGAAAAGGGATGCTATATTTCTGTATTAAAACGCATTTCAGTGCAGCTGATGATTTACCACAGAATAATCAATGCTTCATGTGATAATAATTTGAATGTGGAGATTAGTAGAGGTCTGAATCTAGCCTCCCCAGGCAAGAGAGTGTACCTAAAATTCAGACCTGCACTCAGAAGATAGTATAACAGAGACAGATGTCATATCTTTTTTCTTTGCTTTTTGCTAAATTTCTTGCCTCAGTTTATAATAAAATACTTGTAGCACTGGACTGTGGGCAAAGCACTGCAATAGGACTAGGAGACCCTGTTTCTGTTCCTAGATTTACCTTTCTCAGAGGCTGAATGATCATGAATTAACCCATAGCTCTGTGCTTCTATTTACTTACCTGCAAAATTTGGATGTTTGGCAAGCAGCCTTCTCTGAAGTGTGACGAGATTTAGTGATCAAATTAGCCAGGTAATCTGTCAAAACTATAATCTTATTGACAAAATGTGAGTTAGCAAAATCCTTTTTTTTCCTGATACTTCATCCTCCTGCTATTCTTCAAAGTTTAGTTGTAATGTGAGACCAAAGGGAGGTCATTTGAGGGGGCACAGCTTGCAGTGAATGAGATGTGTGTCTGACAAATTTAACAGAGAAGCCTAATCCAGCATAGTCACTCTGGGTGAATAGTTCTCTGCAGAAGGCAGTATTATGGGCTTAATATTTCACCTGGAATTACATCTTCTGCTTGGCTGGAAAATTACGGCAATTAGTTGTGTTCAACTGCATTGTGATTTGTTCTTAATGTGTTAGGAAGACTGAGCTGGTTGAGAAAAGAAACTTTCCCAAACTCCCTTCTTTCAGATCTTTTCACTCTCTAGTAATTCAGCTCAAAAGCACTGTTCAAATTAGAACCTGTAATGGCAACAACTGGGCTTCATAACTCAGTCCCTCTTCCAGTTGTGTGTTTCTGACTGCATAAAGAGTGCCGTAGGTAACAGGAATAATTTTCACTCTCCCACTTTACATGTCCTTTCCAACACTTTGCCAAAGAATTGCTCTGTTGACTCGTGGCCAGCCAATGAACCTCAGCAGGTGTCCCCATTTTGTAAAATATGCTTGATTTTCCTGTGTGTATAAGACTACATTTAGCTGAGCCATACCATGTCTTTGTGCTTGTTCTGCATAGCAATCCAGATGTTTCAATCAATAGGTTTGTTCAGTGTGCTGGCATTAGTGAGTTCACTTTGAATTCTGGGTCCATCTGAATTTTGAGTCCACTTTGAATTTTGGTGGGATCTCCATTTAGTCACCATCCCTGGAGGTAATTAAAAGGCATGTGAATGTGGTGTTTGGGAACATGTTTTAGAGGTGCTAGGTTCAGTAGTGCTAGGTTAGAGGTTGCACTCCGTGACCTCAAGGGTCTTTTCCAAATGAAATGGTTCTATGATTCTGATTTTTGGCACAGAATCACAGAATAAAAATTGTTTTAGTTGGAAGAGACTTTTGAAGACCATCTTGTCCAACCTCTCTGCCATGGGTGGGCATGTTCACTTTGTATTTGTTTACAGTGCTTAGAAGCATCCTTGAATAGCACTATTAACTTACCTTCATGTCAACACTTCCAGCAATTAAGTTATTACATAATCAGTTTTAACTTCTTAAACTAAAACAAAGATGTGCATTGCATAGTGTTACTACCTCAAGCAGATTACAGCACTAATTGTTGTGCAGTGCCACATTTGTTGTGAGCTGTGTCCCATCTGTCTATACTGCTGCTCCCAGGGAGTTCTTGCACGTAGCTTGTGGGCCTGCTATTGTTGGTGAAATTTGGTTCTTCTCCCTGAAAAATAGCAATTTCCCTGGTAGTAGTAGTTAAGATCTATTCCACAGATGGAGCTCCTCTTTCAAGCAGCAATTGAAAAAGATTTGATGGCCTTAGTGGTCATTAGCTCAGATGGAAGGAGCTTCTGGGGAGAGTTTTCTCCAAGGAATATTCAAGGAGTCATGTGGGGCTGAGATGGAGAGCTGTAATCTTTCCTTTTGGGAACAAATTTAATTTTCCTTGGTTTCTGATGAACTACAGACATCTTCCATTGCAGCCTGTGTGAACTGAGCCCATAAGTGCCCTCTTTTTGATTCTCTCTCTTTTCTTTTCCCTATGGGCCCCTTCCTTCTTTCTTTCCCTTGTAGGCTCCTACCTACCCTCCATTCATGTATGGAAGTCTAAAATTATCTGACTTCTTCATAAGACTCTTCAGAATAATCTTTTTTCCCATTATATTAATCAAAGAGGAGTTCAGTTCCTATATAAAAATATTTCCCCCCGCTATCCTCAATACAGTTTTTTCAGGGTTCTGTATGCACTCGGAGACCATCCTGTCTGTCTTCTTCAATGGGGCTTGTTTTCATCTGTGTCCTTCTGTTTTCACATTCTACACACATTCGTGCAACTGAAATGGCAGGTGGGGAATTTTAATCATTGCCAAGCAGAAATGAGTGTCTTAAATACTAAATACTCTGCTCCCACAGACAGTATACAACCAGAGAGGAATTTAATATGATACATCGTTGCATTCATGCTGGAACCTTGTTTGTTCTATTCTGAATCTGGACTTGAAGAATGCAAAAGCAGCAGAAGTACACTTTAGACCATGGAAAGGATGCAAATAGTGTTTCACAAAAGTACAGCAGCAGAAAGAATGTTTAAATCTCTAAGTGTCGGTATAGAACCACTCAGTGGCAAACTCAGTGGTTACTTCAAAAGAATACCAGAAATGAGTTGAGTGTTGCACTGACCCTTTAACCACAAGATAAGATTTTTTTTCAGATGGTGTGTAAGAATAGGTTTGAGCCACAATGCATATTCCTCGACCAGCATCGTAATTTCCCCCTTTTCCCCAACCACGTGTAAAAGAAACTTCATAAGCTGCCACGTAAACGTTACCCATTGATGAACCACTGAAAATTTTTCCAGGACCATGCTTTAACAAAGATGCTTTCGAGGGATTCCCTTGATTAGCCAAAAAATGAAGGGTTCTTATCTAACACTATCTTGTCTAAATATACACAGCCTGTGATGACGAAATAAAAAAAATTCAAGACCAGGTATAAATACCACCGACAGGATGATGAAGTTCAGTCGTCTACTTGCTTCTAATAGAAGATTTAACTATTAGAAGTTGAAGCTCTCTTCTCTTAGACCTGTTCTCCCCGGACTGATCTGAGCAGTTTAACTGAACCACCATCAAGAAAATGGCTTTCCAAACCTACAGCTTGTTTGTTCTGTCTGTCATCCTGGTTTCTTTTGGGCATGTTGAAAATGCACTGAATCTTCTTAAACTTCAAAATGATATAGACAAACTGAAAACTGATTTTGTAAGTATAGTCTTCTACTGCATTTCTCTTCTGCTGCTTGTGCTTTACATATGGTCTAAGCTCCAGTCCTGCTTGACATACTCAATATGTACCAACAGAGGGTAATCATGGAACTAATTTTTTGATCATACCTTTTTTTAACAAGAATATGGATATTTTTTTTTGTTTTACTAAGTTCCTTCATTGACCTGATTCAGTTTTTCAATTGTCATAGTTGTTGTAGTAATTTGCATTTATTTTAGGGATGTTCTTTGTTTCACAATAGTTTCTTCTAGCTCAATTCAGCTTTGATTACATGGAATGGTTAGTAACAAGAAATCTTAATGCAATTTATAGTGGATATATGAATCTTTATTCACTTCTGACTAGATGGAATTCACTGACTTTTTAAATTTTATGTTAGCAATGTCAATGGAAGATTTAGTACTGGTTAGAAATATAAAAAAATTGGAGGTGAACTTTTGCTTTAACAAATGTATTTACCACCTATTTTAAGTTGCAGTAGTGTGCTGCTCAATGGTGATTTCTCCTTCTTATTCCTTTGCATCCTCCAGTCATTTTACTTTCACATGTATGACTATGATCTGGCATGGAAATGTAATCTGAAAGAATAATATTCTTTCTTGTCAAATAGAATTTTGGTAACTTAATAACTGTAGTGTTAATTCACCAGTCTTCATCTGAGAGGCATTAAAGTAGTCCACAGCTGAATTCAGCAGGGATTATTCACAGAGAAAACATATCTACAATAGAGTCACTTTTAATTAACAGCTTTTATTTTCAATATATTTTTGTTGGGTTTTTTCCCCCCTCTAAATGCATGGAAACAACTGCAACAGTCTGCTCCTATTTTCAGCTCTGATTTTTCCATGATTTTGTCATAATTTTGTGCAAATGACAGTTGAAATTCAGTAGTCAGAGAGCCACCCTGAAGTGGTAAAGACTAGTGTGATATTTCAGTGTTTGCAGGAAACTGGCTGTAAAAGTGGCATTATGTCTTAAATTTGTGATTAGCATAGACCAGGGAGTGTCTTACTAGAATATATATAACTCTGTAGAAGACGTCCTGAGCCATGGTGAGCTTTTTACACTGTCATTAAAACTTTGCTCCATAGCAGATGCTCCCCACCTTTCAGAAGCAGAGAAAATCAGTTTGGTAATATGCTTAGCATGGGAACCAATCAGCCTAGGAGGCTCCTGTCAGACTGCAAGTTTTCTCTTTGCACTCACTGTATTTAAATTAGTGAGCAGACAAAAGAGGGAAATAGTCAGTGTTGTATACAAAAAGGAAAAAAAGACACACAGAAGAGGAAATGATTCAGTTTGCCTTTCATTGGAAGGAGAGTTGTATTGCTCTTTGTTTCCTAGAACCAGTTGCCAACATCTGATGGTTAAACTCCATCCCTGTGAGCCTCTCAGTAGCCCACTAATCTTGCATGTCCCCATACCTGACTGTGGGCTACTGGGATATCCTCCCAATCGGCAAATTTTAGTTTTATGCTAAAAATAGCTCATTCTTGTTCCATATGAGATTTAACTGAGATGGCATGAATTTAAGGTCACAGATTATAAACTACTGGACCTTGACTTACCAGAAAACACGCCAAGATTAGACCTAATGATTTCCTAGCCAGTTGTTGTGCTTATGAGCTTTTATTTTCATCTGTCAATAGCAAAACTTACAGGGAGTATTTGGGAAAATAGATATGCTAAACATCTCTATTCAGATGAGTTATAGCAGGAGAAGACATTGAAAAGAGGACTAATGCAATTTCTAATATCAGGAAGCCAAGCAATGGGACTTGGTGGTTGGAGAAGTGAAAGCATTGTGATAGCTATAGGCCAGATGTGCAAAAATCTGAATTTTGATGCTCATTTGATTAACGAACACAAATTTGCCTTGTGATAAATATTGTTTGTGTAATATAAATGTTTGTTTCTTTTTGCAGAACTCAAGTAGTTCTGATGTAGCTGATGGTGGACCTATTTTTACGGAGAAGCTGTCAAACTGGACAGAGGTGAGTCAAAACCAGATATGATGAAGCATCTCAGGTGCTTTTTTGGTACAAAGCAGCTCCCAGAACCAGAGTAATTAGCTGTGGTAGAATGAACGTGAGCAGAGTTGTCTTCGGTACCTTGGAAATGAGACAAAATCCCCATAAAAACCTTTATACTGCACCACGAACTGACCCACAGGTACAGCCAAGCCCAGGAGATGTGTTGCAACATCTTCTTTATCATCTTGTTTCAAGTGGCAGAGAACCCCTGTATGCTGTGTTTTATCTTTCTCCCTTTCCCTGCTTGTGGGCACTCACAGACCTTTCTTTCTGATTGTATTTTTCAACAGAGAAATGAAAAAAGGATCATCCTGAGTGAGATTGTTTCCATGTACTTGAAAATGTTTGAAAATGCTGACAAGTCAAAGGAATATGTTAGGAACATAGATGAGGAGCTCCGTACTCTGAAAGAAAGCCTTTCTGATGGCTCAAATAAGATGGAATATCTCAAGAACCTGACAAAACTTCAGGTAAGTCTCTTCCTTTGCCTCCAAAGCTTGTGACATTATATTTTCCAGTTGTGATTTGAGTGTGATTTAAGATAATAACACTTCAGTAACCTATATGGTGATCCCTGTGTAGCTTAATTCATGCTGGAAAACCAAATGTTTCCAGCTGCAGGGGCTGCTGCTGGTCTGCAGTGTGGGGTAGGGCTGAGTCTTGCTGCAACCTGGCACAGAGGTGCTGGCAGCACCATCACACAGTCTGTACACGAGAGCTGCCACTGACACAGCCCTTTGTGGCATAGAAATTGGCTGGGAAAGTTGTGCCTGGCTATGGAATGCTCTGTGGCTGTGGGAGCACTTGGCTCATGGTGCTCATGCCAAAGGCCCAAACCACTGAGCTCAGAGGTCAGCAGAAGATGCCCCAGTGGAATCAGCTGCTTTTAACTACAGGGTAGCTCTGTTTCACAGTGTGGCTGGTCTGTGGCTGGTTGCAAAGTAGCACAGAAAGTGGAAAACAGAAATCTGTGACATACAGGAGTTTTGTTGTGGGAATTAGGTAGTAGGGAATTGAAAAGTGCATATGTCCTTCTGTTTTACCCTGGTAGCAGGGTAGCCTGTGTGCTGTGGTCCGTAAATAATTCTAGATCTTGGCATAACTTTTGTTCCATTTGTTTCTTGCTTATTACAGATGACTGACTTGAAAATTCAGCGCAAGGCTGTGAATGAGCTGTTCATCGTCTTAAAGAAACTGGGGGAAACCTCAAGTTCTCACAAAAGAAAAAGAAGCCAGTTTCAGAGGCTGTGCAAATGCTAATGCCATCTTATGATCTTCTGTACTGAGTTACTGTGCAAATCTTGCTGAGACAAGATTTTTTTATTTCAGTCTTCCTATTGATTTTTATACATTTATTTATTAATATTTAAGTGTCTTAAGTAATTATTTATAAAAAAATACTAATCTAAGTATTTATACTCCCTAATATTATGTAAGAAATGACTTTGTCTTAAAACTTTGTCTATTTGTTATGTTCGTTGACCTGAAAATATAGAAGGAGGCCATGTTTACCCAGTTTCCATACAGAAATCTTGAAAATACATTATAATGGTACCCAGCTTTGTATCTGGTGCTGTCTTGAGAGAGGGATGTTATGAGATTAGTCTCTTCTATTTGGCATGGAGATACAAGCACCAGTATGAGGAAGTTACTCTATTCAGGAAAACATATCTATGTCTGCTTACTACTAAACATATCTAAATCCAAATCAAGAAAGTAGACATGCTTAAAGATAAGTAAATTTCTGAACTAGAGGACTGATCATTAATTGCTGGTTACTGTTATTAATACTATTATTATTGTTATTATGCACTGAAGTTACCAGGAGGGCAGGTCTATTTAATATCTCAAGAGAATGTGACTAACTGTATTGCACTGACTTAAATTAAACTCTCATATTTTAAAAATTTCTTTTGGTACTGAACCATTCAAATGTGTCTGTTGTAATTTTATTTATTTGGAGGTAGTAGTATGGAAGTTTTAATCTCAAGGACTATATTTTTGCACTGGAATATTATTAAAAACTTTGGATTTTTCAACAGAGATTTTTTGAAAATTGAACATTAAATAAATAAATAAATGAACTGATTCAAAAGTGTATTTTTCATGTTTATTTGCCATCATCTTTTCATCATGAAAAGTAAAATGTTAATTTTGTTTTACATTTTCAGAAAGGACGGTCCTGCCCAGACATATAAAACATATTTTGTTTCCTCCTGCCCGTCCAAGACCTAGCAAAGTCTTGGACATGTTTTTAAAGAAATATGGCAGAAGAGTCTAAAATTTTCAAGTTTATTTTGTGTCTGAGAAAACATCATTTTGCTTGTGGGAAGGCACTAATCACTTGAATTTTGTTGTAACTCTGATTTAAGATAAAGGCACTCTCAAGTTTCTCTGTGTGTCAAAGTGACGGAGCCCAGACTGAGCTCAGGCCATCTGCAAGTGACACAAGCTGGAGGCCTGGGGCAGCCTGGGCTCCTCTCACAGCCTTCCCAATTCTCAGGTCCTCAGGGCTCTGCCATGAAAATTATCTGGGGGTAGACTGGCTGAACTGGCTGGGAATGGGGCAGATTTTGCTTGGCATTCCTGCCAACATGAAACTTCCAGCTACCCCCTGAGCTTTGACTGGATCTGTAAAATGCAGATATAGCACGACGTCATGCCCAAAGTTTAGTTGCAGTAGTTCCTACAAGTTTAGTTGCAATTGTTGCAGCCATTCCTATTCCCATGGGCTCAGCTGTCTCCCGTGGTTCAAGATACCTTCATTCATACCCACATTTGACAGTCACAACAAAGTGACTTTGTGATCCTGGAGACTCCAACGGATTTTGAAGGAAACAACTGTTCTTGTTTATATTCATCACAGACATGCATATGCATGGGAGATGCAAGTAAAGTTTCTCCTGTAGGATTTCTCCAGTTCCAGGACTAAGCCTGAGAAGCCTCAGTAAGCATTTAATATAGACAATGTGTCCTTCTGTGCTCATGCTCTTACATGAGGGATTAAAGGAAACTAACTATCCTTTGGGAATACATAACCAGGTGCAGCAAGTTTAATTAAAAAAATACAAAAAAAACAGAAGAAAGAAAATGAAAAAGAAATTAAGGAAAAATTAAGAAGAAGAGAAGAGAAGAGAAGAGAAGAGAAGAGAAGAGAAGAGAAGAGAAGAGAAGAGAAGAGAAGAGAAGGAAAAATGAAAAATCTAACTGAAGGGTTAAAGTTTCATTACTCTGTGGCAGGGAGACAGTTCGTTTCCCCACTACTCCTGAGTGAATTAATATTCTATTTCTTGAATATAAAGCCAAGACTGGTTAGAAACTACTATAAACTGAAAAATCTACAGTCCTTCTACAGCCTAGTGTATGGTTCCATGGAAACGCAATTAAGGCAGTTGCATCCAGAAGAAATAACTTTTCCCAATCCAACCTGCTTTAGCTATGCTCTGCTGTCCCCTGCATTCCTGAAGTTATCACATTAAATTTGGCTCGTACAGCAAGTGTTTTGTGGGGAGGTTTTGCTTGGTCACGCAATTTCCTGAGTTCTGCTCATCCTAGTGTGGGGTAGCAAAGAAATAGCAAAGGAATGAGCAGTGCAGAGATGGAGTAACAGCTGTCACTGCTGACAAAATGTGCTTTTTTCTCATTTCAGTAGTTTGATGTTTTGGTTTTTTTTGTTTGCTTGTTTAACTGATTAATTGGTTTTTTCCTTTTTTTTTTCCTCCAAAGTATCATTATTTCCTAGAATATTCCAGGAAACTGGAATTTTTTTAAGCACCTCAAAACCTTTCATGTTAAACCTGACACTAGATATTGTAGAGATTCAGCAGCACTACCATAGTTATCTAACCATTCAAAGAAATATAAACAATAAGTTTCTCATATTGACCTGATTTTTCCCTGCCCAGTGTAAGTCTGTGCTATTTCTACAGGGTGCTTAAGATAAATTGCTGAAAATTCCTCACTTTGTTCTGTTCCTGTGATAATAGTGCTAGAGAAGAATATCATCAAGATCAGCCTCTACAAAGTAATTTTTTCCATCCCATCCCATCCCATCCCATTCCATCCCATCCCATCCCATCCCATCTCATCCCTTTTTTGTATGGTATATAATTATATACTATACACATTAGGTCGTCACTTTTAACATGAAAATCTGTCATCTCTGACATTAACACGAGTCCTGAATCTCCTTTTCTATGTCATTCCTTACAATATCCAACTGAGGAGGACACTTCCAGCTAAGCTAAATGTAAGGATGAAATTAATTTTAATGGCTACCGTAGATATTTCAGTAAAAAACATAGCAGAAGCATAGAACATTTTTGACTGAATGTCAGTGCAATTTCTTCCACCTACACTATCTAAGAGTGTTAATACATGTGCTTGCTTGGGAGTGAAAAGATGAAACTATTATTAGTACTATTTAGTAGTTAAAATTAGAAAGGAAAAAAGTCAGAAGGAAAGACAATTGTCTGAGAATCTCACTTGGTTTTATACATCACTTCCGTAGCACATTAACTCTGTCCTTACTCTCTATTCTGCCATACTAGTAGCTCTGATTTTAATCTGCTGTTTTATCACCTTGTCACCTTGTATTTTGTAGTCCTTTAATAGTTCTCTGGAGCTGGACCTCCTCTCTGAGTCCTGTATAACATAGTACATCAGCAAACTAAGTTATGAATATTAATAGCTTACTATATCACCAAACTTAATTGTGAATATGAATTACTAAGTTAATGAATAACCTAGTGCCTTAGCAAGCTTAATTCACAGCTCCCCCTGTTTCTCAAGCTGCTGATGGCTACATTTTAAATCATGGTATTATTAAGGTTGGAAAAGACCTCTAGGACCATGGAGCCTGACTGTTAATGCAATACCATTGTGTTCACTTCTAAACCATATCCCCAAGTGTCACATGCCCATGCCTTTGGAACACTTACAGAGGTGGTGATCCCAGCACTTCCTGCTGCAGCCTATTCCAATGCATGAACAATGGCACAGGCCCCAAGCAAGCTCTCTCATGACTGCACCCACTTAACTGCAAAAACCATCCACTGATTCCTGCTTCCTTTTTCTTATATTTTAACCAAATACATATTTATACGAGGAGTTTCTTATCATGTAATAGCTCAACTTCTTTGGTAGCTTTACAGTGAGACTCATCATGATTCTTTTGAAGCTCAAATATGTGGTTATATTCTGTCTCCCCCTTGTCTATATTCCCTGACTCTTCACTAAACTCTACTACGAACAGTAAGTATGGTATATCATGTCACAAATGTCACAATATTTACTATTTCCTTTTGCACCACATTTATCCATGGGCCCACTCTCTCTTGGTACTGTGCAGTAAGGATGTCAGTTTTACTGGTTTGCAGTTTTCTGGGATTCCCTTGAGGCCTTTTGGAAAATAAACATCCAAGAAGTCCACTTTGTGCGTGCCTGGTGTAGGGTCAGAGGCAGGAGTGGGTTGGATCCTGCACACCCCAAAATCTGTAGTTCAGCTGTTTTACCCTTGAGCTCTGCAGGACTCCCAGGTGAGGGCTGTCAGCTCAAATCTGTCCTTACCATCATCTTCCTCCACTAGTCTAGGAATGACCATGGGATTTTTTTTTGTAAGTGGGAAGTAGAAATAATAAAAACATCTAAAAAGGTCGGGAGGTGTAAAAACCAAAACTTGTCAGAAGGGTGTGGGATTTTCAGCCTAAAAACAGCTAATCATACAAAACCTCCCACCTACTTATTGTCTTGTGTGGGGCAGAGTGATAACAACTTCTGCAATGCATGGGATGTATGCAGGCTGCTGAAATAGGTGAGGAGCAGCACAGTGGCCTTGCAACAGCAAAAATTATACTTCTGGGTGTCTTATCTAGCTGTTGGTCCTCATGCAAGATAGCAAAGTAAGGCCATCTGTCCTCCAGCTTCCTCTTTCATTCTTTTATTTCCACAGTTCCCTCTGAGCAGAGACTTCCTGGCAAGCAGTAAGAAATACAAAAAATCTACCTGCAGATAAAAGTAGAGTAGTTCCTTGATCCATAGTAAAACCAGCTGTGGCTGTATGGTGGTCACATTATCCAGAGAGAAACTAGAACTGAAGAGAGCTCCATTCCCCATCTCATGCAGGAACCTCCTGCACCACTCTGTGCTCACTGCTCTCACGGGCAAACGTCATTTGTGAGACTTCCCCCTACATCACCAGTCAAAGATGACCTGATCAAACAGAAAGCAAACCAGTCAGGTAAATCTGGCCTCTAAGTCGACCCTGGGTTGTGAGTCTGTCAGGAACAAATGACACTCAGTATTTCTTCATAGATTGGATCTGTGTTA